TGATATGTTGTGGGGTTGTTAACCAATGTCATAAAACAATATGTGTACTACTGTTTCATGAGAAACTATTTGTTCTGTAAACCTTCACCTGAAGTACAATTAAAAAAAATAAATACATTTAAAAAAAATCACTAAGAAAAATGCCAACAAACCAGTGTAAAGGAGGAAGAAAGGACCTGAATAGGAAATTTAAAAAAAAAGAAAGTTAGCTTATAAAGCTGGATGGAAAGATCTCAACAACACTCATAATTAAAGAAATATGGATTAATATAAGCAACAATATACAACTTTCGTGTATCAGAACGGCAAAAATCAAAGCATTTAATATACATTTTTTGGCAAGCATGTGGAGGTGTAAGCAAGTATTATACCTCAAAGTGTGGCTGTTGAACCAGCAGTATGTCTATCAACTGAGAGCTTGTTAGAAATACAGAATCTAAAGCCCTACCCAAGACCTACTGAATCTGTCTGCATTTTAATGAGGTCCCCAGGTGACTTGTATGCATATGGACGTTTGAAAAGCTCTGCTCTACTACATTGTTAACCTCTTCGTATTTCAGGTAGACTTTATGACAATTAAATATTTGGGTATCCTTTGACCCATAATTCAACTTGTAGGAATTTATCTGACATTTTTAATCATGTATGTATATAAAGACATATACTAGGATATTCATTGCAGCATTATTTGTATTAGCAAAAGATTAGAAACAACCTCAGTATTCATCAGTTGCGGAAAAGTTAAATATACTATGAAAAAAATTCACACAGTGAAATACTATGCAGTTATTAAAAATGTGTGAAAAAGGAAGTGCGGATATGCGAATAGCTCCAAGTTATATTAAGTACAGAAAACAAGTATATATAGTATGCTTTTTTGTGTTCTATTATTGTAACTTTCATTGTATAGACAACATAAGTGAGGCAGAGATGTTAAATAACTAGCCCAAGGCCACACATTTAGAAATGGTAGATTGAAATTCAGATAGTCTGGTTCCAGAGCTTGTGCTTTTAACACTATGCTATACTTCTGCCCAGGAATAAAAAAGAAACTGTTAACAGTGGTTTCCCCTGAAGAGTACGGGACTTATTTTTCATTGTATATGCCTTGGTATTGTTTGAATGGTTTGGCCTCTGCAAGTGTTGCTTTAAAAAAAATACTTTAAAATCATCTTGTCCAAAACTGAACTAATCCCTCTCCTGCTGGTGTTGGTGACAGGCTGCATCATTTACTGAAGTGAGAAGTCTGGCAAACACTCAGGGCTCCGCTGTCTTCTTTACCCATCACATCTGTCTCCTCGACTAGGCAATTCTCACATCTGTCCCTCCACTCTATCCCTGAATCATAGATCACTTGGAGTGTAGCATTCATTTCCTAACTGATCCACCTGCCTCTTTTCTACCTACAAACTGCCAACAGATGCATCTTCCCAAAATTCAGCTTCAAAGCTTCTTGAGGACAAGTATCATACTGAAGACTTTTTAGACTCCATAGCACCTACTAGACATACGGTAGACACAGGGTTTATTCCCATCACTCTTAAAATTAAATTAAGAGTCCTTAACAAGACCTACTTACCTGACCCCTGGATACTTCTCCAACCTCATTTCCTGCCCTTCTTTGTCTTGCTCGCTCATTCCAGTCCAGCTAAATTAGCCTTCATGCTTGTTCTTTATGCTGTTCTTGGAGAGAATAAGCTGTTCCTGCCTCAGGACAGTTGCCTTTGCTGATCTCTCTGCCTGGAACATTCCTCCCTCAGATATTCACATGGCTCCTTCCCTGACTTCATTTAGATCGCTACTCAAATATCACCTCCTAATAGGGGCTTTCCCTGACTAAGCTCTCTAAAATAGCACTGGCTCCTACTCCCTACCCTCCTCCCAGTCAGTCTACCTCCTTGCTCTGCTTTCTCTTTCTTCACAGCACTTATCACTGCCTGACATATACTTATTGAGTTGAACCCCATGAGAACTGAGGTCTTGTCTGTTTTATTCACTGCTTTGTACCCAGAACCTTGAACAGTGCTTGCTTGTCTCTCAATAACTAACGAATGAATGAATGGCTAACTCAATAACCAAATAAATGAATGAATTCAATGTTGGTACCTGTATAGAAGGGGAAATACAATAAACTCTGATGACTACTAGAATTTGAGTACTTAATATTTACAATTGTCATTCCATGATTCTGTCTTTCAGCTTTAGCATTTTCAAGTTAATCTATCCATGTGTGGGTTTTTTCCCTCAGTTTTACAAACATCACCTTGACGAAATTTAAAACTCTATTTAAGTCAAGCCTTGTTTTCAAAAATAAGATTTGTCTCCTCCATCCCAAGAGGAAGGAATGTGTATGATTCAGTGCCTCTGTGCGTGCTTGCATGTGTGCATGCTTGAGAGAGAGAGGAGGAGAGGGAGAAGATAGAGAGGATGAAGGGACAAGAGAGGACAGTTACCTGCAGTGAAGAAATTAAGTGGGAATAGGTTAGGGAAATGAGAATAGGGGAGTCCATGTTCCCAAGAAGGAAAATAACTTCATTTCAACTGCTGTATTTTTTTTCCAAATTGTTGTTTCAAAATCCTTAATAAAATAACAACTGAAAACCAAGGAAATGAAAAACCTGATGAACTAGAGCTTTGTGAATGTAAATATATCAGAAAAGAGGATTTCCCAGGGGCTCATGCAGAACATTGTGGAAGCAAGTGAAATCCTTTATGAAGAGAGACTTCTGAAGGGTAGGTAGATATATGGCAGCTGCTTACCAGCTCATATCATCCCCTGATAATAGCAGCTGTAACCTGAGGTCTACCCTGTTGATTTTGGTACCTTCCTCACCATGAAGAAGTATCTTTCTGCACCTGAACTCAAGTGTTTTTCAAGCAGCTGCCCTCTTTTACGTACACAGCCACTGGCAGTTGAAGGAATGGTGTCTATGAATGTTCTTTATGAACTGTAAATATGGTATACACATGTTAGCAGTTAGATGACTTCACAAATGGTGCTTGCTGCCACCCCCACCAGACTTTCCTGTTACTTTGTCCCCTCCCCACTCAACTCTATCCCACCAAGTCCATCAGGCACCTGGAAAGGAATTGAGGCTAAAGAGGTCCTGAGTAGAATTTGTTTCAACCTGTTAGGGAATGACCTTGATTCTGACTTAGACTTCGCCTCCTCTACCTGGCCTCCCCTCAAACTTGCTCCTTGTTCTTCCAACCCTGGCCCACACTCACAGCAAAGAACAATTCCCAGTGCTAATATTAGGGTAAAAAAAAAACCTGTCAGTTGGAGTTTTAAAAAATATTAATAGAACAAACAGAGGAATCCATTGCCAAGCATCAAAGCCTTGTCGGGGGAAAGTATTTTGCTAGGTTGGTGGGCTCTAGGCTGATTTCTTTGAGGGCAAAATCCAGATGTTTGAAATAGTTAAGTGGAATCACAAGTATATTTGCAGATTTCTAACTTAGGAATGTGTCAGACAGTTGTGTCAAACATTTGCCAGGGTAAATGATATGTCCATGTAGAATTATGTCATTTTTCTTTGGGAACTTTTTCATATTAAAGAAGTAATACATACGTAATTTAGAAAATCTAGAAAATTTTTAAAAGTATAAAACATTAAAATGACCTTTAATCCCACCACGCAAAGATAAATAACCACTGGGAAGATACTAGTGCATTTGCATCTAGCCTTTTAATATGTATATGCAATATACATATGCATAAAATATACACACAATACATATTTTTTTGAATTGGGATAGTAGTATGTACAAGTTTGTATACTGGTTTTACACCTACAATTATATTTTAAGCCTTTTCCAGGATCATTAATTAGTCTTTGAAAACATAGTTTTTAATGTCTGACTATTACTCCATCACATAGATGTAGAACACTTCACCTGACTCTGCTTAAATATTGGACATTTAGGATATTTCTAATTTTTACCATTATAAATAACCCTGCAGCAGGTGACACTTCATACACATAAATCAATGTGTGCATCTCAAATTGCTTTCTTAGGATAAAATTCTAGAAGTGAAAGAACTGAATCAAAGCGTGGGGGCATTATTTTTTATTATTGAGGTATAATTCACATACCATAAAGTTCACCATTTTAAAGTGTACAATTCAGTGGGTTTTAGTATTTTCACTATCAAGTTCCAGAAAAAAATAAGGAATGCTTCATCAATTTGCGTGCTATCCTTGTATAGGGGCCATACTAATCTCTGCATCATTCCAATCTTAGTATATGTGGGCTGAAGCAAGCACAGTAGGAACATTTTTAAGTCTCTTCACAACATATGGTCAAATTGCCCTCTAACAAGCGTATACCCACTTCCATTTCCACCCAGCAATGAATAAGAATCCCTATTTCTCTACCGGAGCCCTGGTGGTGCAGTGGTTAAGAGCTATGGCTACTAACCAAAAGGTTGGCAGTTCGAATCCACCAGTCGCTCCTTGGAAACCATATGTGGCAGTTCTACCCTGTCCCATGGGGTCTCTGAGTCAGAATCGACTCGACGGCAACGGGTTTTATTTCCCTACAACTCCGCTGACACATTAAAAAAAACTTTGTCAGTATCATTAAAAATGGAATTTTATTGTTTTGTCTCTTTCACCAGTTCTTCTTCCTCTCCCACCTGAAATAAAGCTGTTCTGCAGAGATCTGTCATCCACCCTCTTTCTTTTGCATGCATTCAGCCTGAGCAGTCACAGCACTACAACAGTCTCACCTGCCTCCTCTCTGTAGATAATGACCGCATGTTCAGACCCTGTCCTATTATACTCTTTCTTACACTGCAGCCCAGACATCAAGCTTCTTTCTGGGCATGCCTCTCTACGTATTTTGTCAGCAAACTCATGTCTGAAATCAAACTTATGTATCCTGAAGCCAGCTCCTGCTCTTCTTTTCCTATCTAGATTAGTGATACCACCATTCTCCCAGGTGCTGCAGTCATCTTATCTCCCTCTTTCCTTCATATCTGATTAGTAGTGCAGCTCCATTGATTCTGTTTCTTAAGTTCTCTTGCACATTCTTCCCTTCTCTTCCATCCCCACTGGCATCGCTCTAGTTTCATCTTTTATTGTTTCTATTGCACTAGCCTACTCACATCTCTGCTACCAATAATCTCCATGCAATTCATCCTACACATGACTACAAGAATGAAAAAAAACAAAAACCCACTGAGCGCAAACCATTTGCGCCACCCAGAGACCTAGCTACAAGAGTAACTTTCCTAAAATACTGCTTTTACCATGTTGCTCTCTTACTCAGGAAGTTTAAGGCCTCTCTCTTGCCTACTGGATTATGTTAAGTAAATGCTTTAACCTGGCACTTAAGGCCCTTCATGCCCTTGCATCATCCTAAATTTACTTCCTATGTGCCTAGTAGAAACTGTGCATGCTTCCTTCAGGATATTCCTGCCTTCTCCACCCCTGTTCATGCAAAACCTGGCATGAACCCTCCTCCAATCTTCCAGCTGAAATTATACTGAGTCTTCAAAAATTAGCTCGAAGGCTGACCAGAGACTCTGTGAAGCCGATTCAACAAGCTGTGATTTCTCCTTTTAACTCATTTTGTTAGCATTTCCTTTATGACACTTAGGACATTCTGCCCTGTTTAGTGGTTATTTGGGTATTTTTCTTCCATCCCCTATCACACTATAAATTCCTTGAGCACAGGGATTATGTCTTCTTCACTTTGGCATGTTCCATAGTGCCTGGCCAGGTGCCTTAAATGTAGATAGGAGCTCCATAAATGCTTGAATAAAAAATGGTGAAGACTGCCAAACTTTTTTTTTTTTTTGAGAACTACCAACGACTCAGTTTTGGCAATTAATACTGTGCTACGAAGGTCCAGTTGCCAGACAACACAGTGTCATGGTTTGTTCTTCTTTTTCCCTTACATCTGTCAGCAAATACTGTGGACTCTTACCTCTTCAAGATACCTATAATCAAACCTCTTTTCTCTATCCCTACTGCTACCTCCCTAGAACAAACCACCATTATCTCTTACCTACAAGAGCCTTTTAAACTGGTTTCCTGACTTCTATTCTTGTTCCCCTAAATTCATTAGCCAAGTGGGATCTTAATAAAACTTAGATCATGTTAGTCTCTTGCTTAACAACCTCCAGAAGCTTCCCACTGCACTGAGAATAAAATCCAAACTCCTTTGAAGCCTCCATGATCTGACCTATGTACTGCTCCAACCTCATCTCCCACTATTCCCCTTGTCCATGGTGCTCCAGCTCTGGTGAGTGTTGGCCCTTTCTCACTGTCATATTTGCTCAGAGCAGAGGTAATGGGTGCTACTGGTTCTATGGAGGTCCTGGCTATATTGTTGGCTGTTGCCGTAGGGCTCCATGTTTTTAGTAGTGGAGATGACTCAGGATGTTGCCAGTAGTTCTAAGGGCTTTAGGACTTGACTTTAGGGAAAACCTGTGTGCATTTCATCAGACCCCTGAAAAGCAATATCTCTAATATTGAGTAGGAGCTGAAGGAGATAATGGATTTAAAGGAGAAAAAAAAGAAACCTTGTATTTTCCTGCAGCCTCCTTTCCAAGGGATGCTATAAATATTACTGGACAGAAAACAGAGCTGGAGGACAAACATCCTCCACCTTCTTTATAACTTGGGTGTTGGTCTGGGAAATTGGGCCTCACAGCAGAATCCTTGAGGCCATCTGTTGAGGCAGATGGTTCTTTTAAACTTGCTGCCATTTTCCCCTGTGTGCTCATCTCAAGTTTCCTTCAGCCCTCTGGTGTTGCACCCTTAGCTTAGGGAGGAGAGAAAATGCCCTCATTCATTATGCAGGGTCCTTGATGTTCTTGACTTGCTCCCCTTGCTTCTAGCAAGAGGGTAAAAGCTGTGAAATATATACCACCGACCTCCTTGCCTTTGGGATCATTGACAAGAAACAGTCTACAGTGGGTATGTTTTATCAGACTATGCATAGAAGTTGGTCCCTATCCCACTCTGAAAGAGAATTTCAAATACTGCATTTCTAAAATACTAAGCATTTGTCTAGCCCCTAATATTTACAAAGCTCTCCAGAGTCATTTTTATGGTTACCTCTTTCCAACTTTCTTTGGAAAAAGAAGGTTCCCATGTTTTAACGATTCCAGTGTGAAAATGGAGAAATGAAAACAGAATGTCAAATGTAAAGGCCCTTAGCCAAATGAAGTTATCACACCCTACTCAGAAAGCCAAAAGTCGCCCCCTGATACACACCACAGCATTCTGGGGGCATGTTCATTTCCACCCTGACAGTCCTTTCCTTTCTTATTCCCTGCCCGTGTTCTGTTTTTAGCCAGGGATGGATCTCAAGGTGGGAAGGATGGAGAAGGGGAACCAGCAATGTACATGAAAGACCCTGAACTAGCTATTCAGAGTGGTGAGGTGAGGCGAGGTGGGGAGGCAGAACTGGAAACCAAAAGCCCCTTCTCCATAAAGTACACATCTCTCAGATGACCCAGATTAGAAATTTATAACACTGATGAGAAAGTCACTGTCCTGAAGGTTCTCAAGTTCTCTTAAAAGCATATATATATATATACATCCCCTTAGTTAGGTCTTTAATAAGGAAGGGTCTCTGGATCACCGGGCTGCAATGTCCTCAGCTGAAGCTGGCTAACAATGGGTGGGGGGGGGGCTTCATAGGCCCCATGATGACCAAGCAGCTTTTCCCCTCTTCTGTCAGATAAACAAGCCATACATTGTTCTGTCCACCATCCTGTATGTAGACTCCCCTTCCTGCTGATCCAGCCAGAACAAGCTCTGGCTCCTTCATGTGAGGCTATTTGGTGGGGAGTTCTAGAAGAGCCACAGAAAGTAAGCATAGCTAATAAAGGACACTATTTTGTGTTTCTCCTTATTCAAACACTTTTAAAAGAGGAAAGACCTCCAGTAAGTTATGGCCCAGAGCTCAAGCTAGGCACAACCCCTCAACCAACAGGGGCCATATTTTCCTTCTTGCCCCAGGTTAGGGGAGAGCCATGGTTCTCTTCCTGCTTGGCCCCCTGCCAAGTATCTCTTGAGAGGTCTGCTGGGAGCCAGGCTTAGACACAGAAGATATTATGGTAAAGGCCAAGTAAGGTAACTAGAGATTGACTCCTTTCAGAATTAGTCTACGTCTCTCCCCTTCACCTCTCACAAACAGTCTTACAAGGACTTTTCTGGGAGCCAGCTTCTGGCTTATTTGCCACTTCTGCCTGCATAGCCCACTCTTCTCTGAAACCTCTGCCAAGTTCTTATCCTCTGAATGCTTGGAAAAGAAGCAGTCATCTTTACCTTCCCTTTAACATAGGAGGTCATACTTAGTCAGGTTATCTGGAACTCAGCTCTGCTAAGTGGGAGAATACTCCCCTTTGCCCTCGCCCAATCCTTAGCCTCTTTCCAAAATCCCAAACTAGCCAAATTGCTCAAGTTCCTCTCTTCTTGTCCTTTGTCCAAGGATTTCTCATGTATGTTGTCTGTGCCCACCTGCCTGTCAACTCATCTGGTCACCACCCACATTTCACACGCCCACCCTGGCTCCCTTCCCCATCCATTCCCATGAACATGCTTGCACCTCTAGTCATACTTCCTCAGCCTCACCTGGCCACTGACAGGGCCAGACTGCTACCAAACTAGCTGCTCTTTATTTGTAAGGAAGTGGGGAAGGCCAGCACTCTTATGGGTGGGGATACTGAGTGGAAGGAGTAAGGCAGTTGACAGACCAGAACATTAGGATAGGCTGGGTACCCAGGTGTGACAGTTAAGGTTGTGTGTCAACTTGGCTAGGCCATGATTCTCAGTGGTTTTGGCAGTTATGTAATGATGTAGTCATCCTCCAAGATGTGATCTGATGTGATCAACCAATCAGTTGTAAGGGGAGTTTCCTCAGGGATGTGGCCTGCATCCAATATATATATAGATATTCTGGCAAAGCTCACTGGCTTGTTCTGGATCCTGCATCTGGCTCATCATCATCTGACCTCTGGTTCTTGGGACTTGAGCCAGTGGCCTGCCATATTGCCTACCAATCTTGGGATTTGTCAGCCTCTGCAGTTTGTGAGCCAGCAGCCTCCCATCTGACCTCCAATCTTGGGTTCATCAGCCCCTGCAGCTACGTGAGTCAGGAGCCTCCAGACTGACACCTGATCAATGGACTTGGGACTTGCCGGCCTCTACAACCACGTGAGCCATTTCCTTGAGATAAATCTCTCTCTCTCTCTCTTTATATATATATATAAAAAAATATATATACCCTTCATTGATTTTGCTTCTCT